AGCTCCGCGCAAGCACGGCGCAAGCCCCCGATTCGAGATGAAGGAATATTGGACAACCCCCATATGGTAGTCAAAGGTTGGTGGATTTGGCGAGGTATGTATTGTGTGGGCGAAAGCTGACGTCCTTTGATGGTCTTGTATATGGCCAGGTATGCATTCTTTGGGTGATTGTGGAGAGTCAAAGGTCGGTGGATTCGGCTCTTGTACATAGCCAGGTATGCATTCTTTGGGTGAGCGTGGAGAGGCAAAGTTTGAATGCTTTTATGGCTTGAGCCATCCAAAAAAGCGGATTTCCGCGGGTCGCTGGTGAGGGCATGCTTGGAAAGGGAGGAGGGGAAGGTAGGGGACAAGAAAACAGGCAGGGAATCCGGTTTGGAATAGGGGAACCGCCCCCCATTTGACAAAGCATAAGGCGACCCTGGTAGGAGCCCGAGTCCTCAGGCAACCCTTGCCCACTACCACTAAGCACCTTGGGAAAACGTTGAGAGCGTCTAGGAGACACAAGTCCCAGCCTCCCGCGGTTCCTTCAAAGGACACCTCCCCAGTCTGCCGCCATCCCTTCAAAGGACATTTATTTTGCTTCCTTGTAACCCATTCAAATTAAATCTAACGTCCGTTGCCGCGCTCTCCTTTGCCCTTGCCTAGGAGCCACAATTCCCAGCCTCCCGCCATCCCTTCAAAGGACACCTATTTTGCTTCCTTTCAACCCGTTCAAATGAAATCTGACGTCCTTTGCCACGCTCTCCTTTGCCCTTGTCTAGGACCCCAATTCCCAGCCTCCCGCCATCCCTTCAAAGGACGCCTATTTTGTTTCCTTTCAACCCGTTCAAGTGAAAACTGACGTCCTTTGCCACGGTCGCCTCTGCCCTTTTCTAAGAGACACAATTCCCAGCCTCCCGCGGTCCCTTCAGGGATGAGCTAAGATCAATCTTTGTTTTGGATGGCTTTACAAAGCTGGGCAAAGGCTGCCCTCAAGACTTTGACGGCATGCGAGAAAAAACAGTGCGCGCAAGCTGCGATGCATGGAAGCACGAAATTAGTCGAGAGGGTTTATTTCTGTCGTAGATTGGCGTGTACCAATCGGCGATGTTAGTTGTTTTCTCGTTGGCGCTTGCGCGCCCTCTCCAACAAGACTGCGGCTCCTCTCTTGCAATAGCCCTTCCTATTTAAACGGTTTACATGGTAAATACATGGACATGCCGCGTGAGCCCTGCCAACGGCCAGGATGCAGAAAGTCCGAGCTCCGCTTGTGCACGCAATAAGTGCAGATTAGAAATTGAATTGTGCATGGCATGCGTCTTAGCGTCTTGTGTTCTTGCTTGCAGATGAAATTTTGCCAACCCTCCTGGTCATATTTCGCAAGCTACCAGCAGCCAATCCAGTATGAAGCCATGCGAGGTCTTCTCGGCCTCCTGGACCTGATCGTGGCAATTCCCTCACATTCCACAGGCTGGCGGCGAAGACACTGCTCTCATGCGAAGTTCTTGCTGGGGATGCGTGACATCAAGTTAGGCCGCACATTGGGGCTGCCGGTCTGAAGTGAATTGGGCATCACTACTGTACTTGACGGTGCTTCGGCTTAGGGTTGAGGCATTGCTTCATCCATTGTCCGCATGTTCGGAGTTCAGTTGCGTGCTGACGTGCTTGTAGGCACCATTGGCTTGCTCCATTTTGACTTGCCCTTGAGGACTCGCTGGGTCATTGAGGCCGCTTGCGGTCATTGCCAGCTCCAGCGTTCACGTTTTCACGGCTGCCTGTTGCTTCCACATACGTGGTTTAGTTTGTCGACCTCATGGGAGCGTTTCCTATGCTGAGCTCTTCGCTTCTATTGAAGATGGCTCTGCACCATTTGACCTCTCACAAGGGCAAGCTGAGCTGCCACCGGGACCCCCGCCACGTGTGGAGACAGTGCCTCTGCAGTCGCAGCTTGCTCGCCCCGTGCACTCAGACGCAGAAGCCGACTCAATGGCACCTGTCATGGACCCCGCCATGACAGATCAAAGCAGGGCATCGTCTTCGCAAGAGAGGCCATGTGCAGCAGATCCAGAAATTTGCGGCGATGATGAGCCGGCTAGTGTCTCTCAGGCTAGAGCAGTCGACAAGAGTGAACTCGAACCCTGCAATGTCGAACTCATTATCCGCTTACCTAGTGGGCGGCGCGTACGCTCTTCTTTTCTTTCAACAGATACCATATCTACAGTCTACGATGTTGTGGAAAGCGAGTCTGGCCAGGAGGCGGACATCCGAGCAGGCTGGCTGTATTTGCTAATACAGGCACACCCACGAGAGGTGTACAGCGACAAGGGCATGACGATAGCACAGGCTGGGCTTCAGAACCTTACCGTTCTGAACGTCGAACTACAGAGATGACGCACTTACCTTACCAGCAAGGTCGGGCGTCCACAGAGTTCTGCTTCATTCTGTTCTGGCTGACACTGATGTGGCCAAGCCTGAAGACGGCGAGCTAAAAACTCTTGCCCGGAGCATCATGCCTAGCGGCCTAGCTTAGCACGTTGAAACTTGCTGAACAGAGAGGTTCGTGACAAGCCTCAGGGATGGAGCGATAGTCTGCAACATGGAAGGTATTGATCCATAAGTTCCTTAAGCCCATGCCCCAACACCTTCAAGTGTTCATCTACCTCCGACTTTGAGAGTGTGAGAGGCCTGGCTCCGTAGCTGCAGTGACCCTGCAGAACATGTGTGACATGTGACCAGGACAAGCTCCCAGGGCTTCAAAAGAATGCCCGTGCCTGCGCGTCATCGCGACCTACGCAGGCCTGGATAAACGAGTCTTATGGGACAACTGCTGGGCGTGACATGCCTTCGTGATGGCGCAAACATCAATGAAGTACAAGCTCAGCCTTTAGAGCGCTACAAGTCCGATCCAGGGACACGTATTTGGTCGACCGTTCCAGGAAGGCTAGGGCTAGGGAGATCGTCCTTTTTTCCCCTATGCAGCTAGGAAAAAGGAGGAAACACATGCTCAAACGTAGAGAACCGATGTACAGATTATCTTGATGGAAAGCCTCGAGGCAGAGAATGTGATTTTACATGTTTGTGTGCGTGTGTGTTTAAGCCCACCAACCTGTGCTTGCCTGCTTCTCCTTTCGTGTCGTGCTGATTACACCTCTTTATCTCATTTCATGCATGGCTGCCATTAGCGGACTTCGTCAAGTTTTGTAGCAGTGGTGTGGGTCTCCCCTTGAGTTTTCGTGCCCCTACATGTCTTAGAGGATATTATTCCCTTATTCCGTGTTATGTGGGGTTGGGTCGAGTGCGCCAGGGTTTCGCAGGAATGTCTTGCATGAGCGCGTTTTGCTTGCGATGTGGGGATAGTGCCTTCATGTGTGGCTGTTGTGGGTGCCTCTTCATTTGTTTCGCTGTCATGGGGTCGTATCGGAGCATTCTGTTGTTTTTGGCTGGTGTCATTGTGCTATGTTGTGCTCGACCGTTTTGGCAGACCGTTTTCCATGTTGTTCTCCTCGTCTTAGCTTCAATGTGACGCTGGCATCGGTGCTTCCTGGATGACCGTTCCCCTCATCTGGTCTGTTGTCTCCCTCGGTCTCCCTCACTGAGGACAGGCTCCTAAACTAGTCAGAGGGCATGTCAGGAAGGAACAGCAGCAAGGGGTTCTCTCAAAGGCTTTTGATGCGACCTGAGCTCTGCCGAGCAGCCGGGACTCCTGGAATATTTGGGAGAAGCTTGTTGGGTAGTTACGACAGATATCTACAAATTTTCGAATGCGCAAATATGATTTCTAAACTGCCGTGCCGGGGTTTGCCAGGGACGTTTTGTGGTGTGACCGTTTGTCAGCGAGGGATGTTCAAAAGGACAATACGAACATCTCGTTCTTCGATGCTGATCAGAACTGAAATCTCATTTTGCCAAGCATGTTCGTGCAAAGCGTGCTTATTGCGGCGGGCCTTTGTGCGATCGCAACCGCGCCTGTCGTTCTCGTGCTCGCCTGGTCAGGTCCGCTGTGGAGTTCTCTGGGCCTTTCTCTCAGGGCATGAAGACATGCAGATGAGCAGAGCTACTATGTCCCCAACGCTGAATTGCGTGTGATTGTGGTTGGGGTATGCTCAGCTTGGGGCGTCGAGATCTGAAATGGGTCCGAAGAAGTGAACAGCTTTAGTTAACCCCGGAAATCTTCGATGTCAACTTCAAGAGACAGTGAATGAAATTGGCCTTCACAAGACTCAATGCAGACCCAGTTGGAAATGAAAAGCAGAGGGACAAGCAGAGGAGATCTGAACACCTAAAAGGGAGTGGCCTGCAACCCAGGTGTGGGGCGAGAGTGGCAAGGATGCTGCCCTGGAGGCGGCGCTGCAGGAGCCAGCTGATTTGCAAGGCTTCTCTTCTAATTCGACCCTGATGACTGTGGGGGTCCCAAGCAGAAAGGGGAGCCTCTATATTGAAAAGTCACACGGATTGGGGGTTTGGGGGATCCTATGGCTCCTATTAAAATCAATAATTAAGGGAAGGGAGACCCTTCAACTTGGCTCAGTTTAGCTTTCAATAGAATAGGCCGGGCAGGGTCCTTGGGCCTTTAAAACCTAATCCCTTCGGAAGTTTTGAGGTCATTAGGGGGTATAACAAGATTTGATTTAATAAGAAATACAAGGGAATTAGGATCCCCTTGGTATCCTAGGTTTGATGGTCTTTCATATCGTTGTTATAAAGGAACTCATATAACAATTGAATGCCGTTTTGATTGATTTTATCACCTCATCAGCCAGATTTGATTTGATTGTCATTAGATTTCAACTAGATTTCATTAAATCACAATGGAGTTTAATCGGTTTTAAGCATTAAGCAGTCTTTAATTGGTCTTAATTGGATTTTTTGAATAAAGTTAGAACAATCAGATTATACTTCGATTTTTCGTATTTCTGTCGAAATGTCAATTCGGTTTCAATGGTTTTTGCTGCACGACATGGCAAAGCGAGGGCGCACACAGCGTTCTTTTTCCCGCACAGCGGAACACACAAGAGGTAAGACTTCTAAAGAAGCTACATCTGAAAAAGAACTGTACATTTATACTATACTGCACGATGGCACATTTGTACATCTAGTTAGAGGTACTCAAGGCTAATTAACTGCCCTACTTACCATCCTAAACCAAAGATGGGCTGCGTGAGTGCATCAACAAGTGCGTTTACATGAGCTGCACCTGCACACAAGCACTCCCCCCGCTCTGCAGCGTTAAGCTGCAGGGCGTACACACGGGAATGGGTTTCTTTTGTCCCGCCAGGACATGAGACAACCTAACAAAACAAACTAAATGACCCAAGGCGGGGATTACTATTACCCGTACAACTCTTCAAAGGGAAGAGGCTCGCTTACGCAAAGGAGTGTTCTTCCATACCAGGATTGGAGTAGAAGAAGGGATGAATGCTCCCGGCTTTATCACTTTGCAGTGATTGCCGCAGCAACAAAGTCCAATTAGTTGGAGCTTGTTTGGGAGGCCCAATGCCTCTCTTACTCCTGAGGAAATAGCACCCCTTTCACTTAGGGTCACTTGAAACCCATCGTCCAGGTCGATCACTAGGCTGAACATGTGGGCTTTCAAAATTGAGATTACAATCCCTCTTCGGATCCTGAAGCAACAATGATCCAGGCGTGCTCATTGCGCTCGAGAGCAGTTTCTTCTCGAATCATTGGATATGACCCATGTAGGTCTTTGAACTTGACTTTGTTGACCATTTCAACTCCCTCCTGAAAGATGCGGAATCCTTGCTTGTGGAGAAGAAGCTTCAGCTCCAACATGCACTGTTCCTCATGGATCACTATGGGCCGCGCACTGACTTCATCAGTCGGGTCAGATACACTAGTGAGAAGCATCAACCCTTGGCTTGTTTGCGTCATAGACAAGAACGCCAATGTTTTCCAACTCGGTAGGGTCGGAGTACTAGCGCCGGCAACGGGGTCGCAAGCCACATCCTCCGGAGAATCAGCTTCCAGCGAAGGTCTTACTACGTCCGATTGAATGGCCTGGTCAGACGCGGCGGAAGCTTTGAGGCCAGCTGAGTAATCTGACCGAGACGGGCTTGTGCACTGGACTGGACCCTTCACTTGAAGAACCTATCTTGTCATCAGCCTCTTCAAAGACTTAACCTGCTGGAACTTCCGCTGTCCCCACATCCACAACACCTGGAGAGAGAGGTTCTGATGCATCTTCCAGAGGGTCGTAATCAACTTCAAGTTTTACGACTGAGGGCTTGGCACTATCAACTACCGTTGGGGCATTCGAACCCTCGGGATTGTGTCTGGTGTTGCCAGAGGCTCATCACTTGTCTGGTCAACCGCCCTGACCTTGGGTGTAGGTCTCATTATAGGACGTGCAACGGCACTGTTGAGGGTTGACTTCTCCCCCCTTTCTTCAGCTGAGGTGCTCCGAGACTTCTTTGGAGGAGCTGGTGGAGGTATCAGAGGAGATTTAAAGCTGACTTGAGGAAGTTGCCCCTTCCAACGTCGGCTTTTCAAGGATAGGCCTTTTTGCGCCGGACTTGACCACCCGTTTTACTGGGCTTGAAGGTATCTCCTCAACGTCGCTTGAGCGGAGCTCAACTGCCTCGTTCCTTGCTGGCAGACGCGGGGGGACAATTACAGGCTTAAGTTTTTCAACGTTCTAGCCCGACGCTTGCTTTCTCTCTTGCTTCTAGGAGGAGTAGGAGGTCTGCGGGTTAACTTTGCAACCGGCTTCCACAAGGTTTTCAAGTGACCAGTTCTTCCACCAGCCTTAGCCTTACTCCTAAGCGTCGTTTTCGTTTTACAGGGCTTGACAAGGCTAGGGGGGGAATCCTCTGCAACCTCAACTTCAACATATTCACCATTGGAGACGTCTTCCCCTTTCTTGTTAAACCAAGGAGGTGGTGTATCTGGTTCTTTGGCGGCAAAACTTGCGTCCACTACCACAGATCCATGGAGGCGGAGGGTGATCAGGTTCTATAGGGCTTTTACGCTGGGTGTTACCACTCGGTTTGGTAAACTCCTTAGTGTGTGTTGCATTAACTGCCTTTCTCCCAGCTAGGGCCAAAACCCTTGGATCTTGTGATGGGGTGTACTGACCTCCCCCATACTTAGTGCAATCCTCTTGACTATGGTGAGATGATCCGCAGCAAGAACAGCAATTTCCCCCCGAAGGTCATGTTTATACTGACAGCGGTTTTCATACTGACACTCACCCTTAATGAAGGCGTAGCACTGAGGTTGTCTCCCTTGTTTTACGTGGGGACTTTGGGGCACCGCCTCGAAGCCGAAGATTGATACGAGCCACATTCCCTTCTCCAACCCCCTGCTCCGCCAGAGACAGGTCATTCCGAAGGATACGGCCTTCAAACACCACATAAACATCCTCATATCGGCCTACTGAGTGACATCTCTCGGCCGCTTTGCGAAGGAGATCTCTGACTCCATCTTGGTCTTCCAAAAATCGGGTCTTCCAAATCGAAAGCACAAAGCTCGCGTGTAGGAAGCTTTACCCATACCTGGCGTCCCTTAGCGCACCCAAGAACTGGAGCCTTTGCCCAAGATGCTAGTGACCCAGATGCAGGCACGTTAGCAGCGACATCTTCAAGCCATGATGGACTGCTAGCGACTACCTGTTGCTGGCTGAACACTGCCTGAAACAACTGATGCGTCCGAACTGCCAGTTGTAGCCGCAGGCATAGTCCCTAGGCTTGTGACGAAGCAGTTGCTTGAGCGTTAACTGCTTGCCTAGGAGGAGGATTACCGCCCTGTTGCTCGGGATGAGCGTCAATGCTTACGGGCTTGAACCAACAGGAATAGCTCTCTTTCCAGTTCCTCGTGGAAGAGAAGGACGAATTGCTCCTGATAGCTGATACCCCTGGAGCAATTTTACTGCCTCATCGTAGTTGACCTCATACTCCAGGAGATCTTCCACATATATGAACTCCAAATCTGTGGTATTACTACCCCAAGATCATCCAAATGCTTGAGCTTCCTCAAACGGAGGAGATCTAACACTGTGGCACCTCTTTCAAGCAGTTCACCTCTCCCTCCTTGCACATCGGGCTGAATATCTTGATACAATGCCCCAGGTTCACCTTCACATGTTGGTGAAGGGGCACTTCCATCCTGGATGGTATACTTCCCCGAGCTAGTATCTCGACTGGCAGTACTATGGCAACCAGAATCTAATCAAATTTTTCTTCCCGAAGAATTGACTGAATTTCAGGAGAGGCTAGGAGGTAGCTGAGCATTATCAGGAGAGACCCTGGTGAATGCCGGCGCAGGGGGATCACCTATGGAGGCGTCCCGTAGTGCCCCACGAAAGCCCTGAAATGTATCCTGGGCAACATGTGCACGGTAGCGTCTAAGACTACCACTTGACATAGACCCATAACCTTGCTCAGGCTCAGGTTCACCACCTAACCCTTCTACGTTTTCCGTCTGGAGAGCGAGGATGGAATTGTGACGGAGAGAACCCGTCGTGATCATACGGGTCTGGCTGTCAATCAAACAGCATCCGGGCCATCCGGGCATCATACTCACGGACCGAGATGATATCTCTTTCTTTAACCTTTTGGCTAAGGACAGGCGAAAACTAACTAATAATCTGATCATCGCACACAAGATATAGATCGTCAAGGTTGTAGTACATCAAGGACCCCTTACCACGGAGCATTTCTCGTCCAGTGGTTATTGAAGTAAGGTGAGCAAAGTCAACTTGACCATGAGGAGGCTCTGCAACTTGACTTTGGGCAGCGTCGCGACGCTGCTCCTTCTCTTGTTGTGCCGCTTCCCTAGTCATCATGTCATCGAGCTGCGTGTCATCACACGGTGATATACTGAGAGGCGCAGAGTCTGATGAGATGTCGCTCCCCCGCCTTCTGGGATCTTGGCCATAGGCGATCCAGATCCCTACGAGCACGTTGTAAGTAATAGGTAGGGGACCTACCTGACTGCCAAGGAGATGACTCACTTAATTCTAGTTCACCTTCTCCTCTTTGATGTGTGAGGGTAACGCTGTGAACTTGGTTACTTGGCCCCCACCACTTGCTAATCCGCATGCCCTGACCCAGTTCGATCTTCAGCATTTCTTCCATCCGTTCCGGAGGCATGAAAATACGCGTCACGAACATCAATGGATACAAGGTCACGATGACCCTTATTACTAAGAGCCATAGCTGGTTCTCGACTAGTCCCGAGTCCCGCCAGGACAGTCAGAACCCTCACCAGCGGTCGTATTTGATGGTCAGGATCGTACTCCATAACCGTACCAGGCAGCTTATCCCCAACATGCAAGGGTAGCGGATCCCACTCTGTTTCTGAGGACAGCGGTGAGTCGTCGTCTTGATTGTCTAACG